AGGCGACCTTAAGTGCCATTTTTCATTCTAGTTCATATGTTTTTATTAACAGTTTCAAAAATGAATATAAAAATATTTAAGAACTAAATATTTTCGGAAAAATATTTTTGGTACGTTTTGAAAAATAAATTCCGATTCCGAACAAGCGCTCTAACTAAGAGAGATTTTGGAAGATTTAAGTTTATATATAATATAAATTAAGTCAACTCCGAAATTCTCTAAATGTTTATAAATTGAACGCAATTAAAAATAATAATAAAAACTTTAACTACTCCAAAAACTTTGTCAACCCCGGTATTTTTATTTATATATTAAATGCAATCGAAAAGAATTATGAAATTTTCTAGCGTGAAAGAAGCTCTCATCAAAAATTCAGGTATTTCGAAATATTTTGTTTTCATTGAATTTTTTTGAAGTGTATATAAATCTGAATTATAAAATCTCCAGCGGGAATAAAGCTCATAAAAAAAATTTAACAACTCCGAAAAATTGTGTAGATTCCAAAATTTTTTTAACTCGCAAAAATCAGTGTGTTTCTCTATATCAAAATATAATAAATTCACTATATCATAAATAATAAAATATTATCTGTTCAGACTAAAAATCAAAACTATACCAGAAAATCGTCTGGGTTCCGAAAAATTGTGTTGCATATTTTTTTTTTTCTATAAAAGTAAAATGTATATTTACACTAATGAAGGATTAAGAGAAAAACAAGCTCATGCCAAAAATTTAGCGAAAAATTTAGTCAACTCCATTTTTTTTGTATTGTACTTCGAAAAAAAATTTTAACTCCGAAAAATTTGTTAACTCCGAACATTTTTTAACTAAGCACAAAATTTAACTAATAAATTTTTCAAAAGGCTCCAAAAGACTAAAAATTAAACAAAAATCTAAACATAAATTTTGAACGAACAAAACTGAAAATTAACCACAAAACTAGAAGCTTAATGCGCCTCATGTTTGAGTAGAAACCTGTACTTGTGAATTAGTTCTTAATCTATGTTAAATTGTCAAAAATTCCTATCCACATAATTTAGTTTACCTTAAAAAATTTCATTAACTTTATTTGTAACTCAGTGACAATAGGCAAGCTTACGAAATTAGCGTGAAAGTGTTTTTTTATCCTTTAAAGCCTTTAAACTCATAAATAAACCTGCACACATTTCCCATTGGATTTGCCTTTAATGTGCAAAGTGTTATTCAGTTGTTCGAGATATGCCGCTCTAATTTATGTAGAGCAGAACAGCTTAAAATGTGAATTTTAAATTAAAACGTTCCGCATAGCGATGTTCATTAGTGCCATTGAAAGTTTTAAATATGTACATAGATAAATATTTTATTAATATGTATAATCCCTTTTTCACTGCAGTGCTGCCGCACTGTCAGTTACGTATGCACATACATATATATGTATGTATTTTTGTATGTATAATCAGGCCACGTAAAACTGTTTATGATTAAAGGGTTTTAAAATTAATACAGCTTAATGGTTGTACGTACGTAGGTACTTAATGTCCACGCAAATGTGCACAGGATTGTATTGTATGGACGTACATATGTTTTTGTATTTACATACTTTCGTGTATTTGACAGCGAAATTCGCCACGCCACTCAGCTGCCTTTTTCGATTTAAAGACTTACTGTAGTGAGCTGAATTAAAATACAATATAAATTTCAATTGAAAGAAAAATTTTAAAATCCCTACGGAAGATTCACTTTACATATTTATGAGTTAAAATTAAAATACTTTTTGCAATCATATCAAAGTGAAAAGCGAATTGATTTCAAGCCTCGCCGGAAAACGAATTGCATTCGCTATAGTCAGAAGAAAAAAATAATAATTCATACGCTTGCAAGTTTGCTAAATAATCTGTCAGTTGACAGCCACAGCTTTAGCTGCCAAACTATGCACCAATACTTACACAAACGTACATACTAGCATACATATAGGTAGATTTTAAATTTTTTTTTGCTTACACACCAAGTGGGTACACTCTACATTTACACCCCACAATCCGCCTCGATCGCTTCATCGCCATAAGCCGCTTGCGTGCACAGCGTTAAAATTGTCAGCGAACTTAAAAGTTCAATCAACTTTGTGCACGCGAATTGACATACATACATAGTGAATCGATATGCCGATGGCTGTACTTGTGTGTGTGTTTAAAAAATTTTAATATATCCATTTATATAGGCGCCGCTACTACCATTTGCCAGCTTACCTGCTTTTCAGGCCAAACGCAGTATCTGTATCTCATGCCATGCCACAATATAAACATTGCACACGCAAAAATGTGAATTTATTTCTGCAACAACAACGACAGCTTCGCAAAATGAAAATTTAATGATTAAACCACATATTAATAATGTAGATAAAACATCAGCGTAGCACGCATGAAATATACGAGTACATACATACATATTTTCTGAGATACAAATCTAAAAAATGACGCCACACACAATCACACAGACATAAATTTAACACTTCAAATGTGGGTCACCAAAATCATACCACACCTTACCACGCCACTCGGCGTCACGTCATGCCGCATTGCTAACGAATTAACCAAAAATATACATACATATTCACATATAAGAATCACAACAACAACATCAGTGATAATAACCGCATAAGTATGCGAATTAACAACAACTGTTATAGCATAATAATAATTAAGTTAGCGAAAGAATGTAGAAACTGGCAATTTTTGTAAGCCTTTTAGCGCAGGAAAAACGGAGAGAGGGAGAAATTCATTAGTAACAGTAAATTGATGAGGTGAACTAAAAATGAGCTTGCTGAGTATTAGCATGGAACTAGAACTTAATGGGTATAGTTTTAATGGATATGCGAAGAAAATTAGATAAAATGAAAAAAAAATAAATGTTTTTGCGGGCAGGTGGATTTATGTCCAGAGAATAAAATAGGGAGCACACGATTTGTACATTTTTAAATTTTGGCAGTCACAGAATGGTGTGACCTAGAAATATTAATG